TCCCATCCCCCAATTTCCCAATTAAAAAAAAAAAAAAGGATACTAGTCCCTTTAAAAAATAAACAAATAACTTCAGGGACTGGTCAGCCTTTCTCACAGTCCACTTGATGTTTCTTAAAAATCTAGAAGGCACCTTGCTCTAATAAGAACATTTAATTTACCCTGTTGTACTTTGCTGGGAAAATTTCAAAGCAAGTTATATGGCACTGTTTCAGTTTTAAATGAAGTAGTTTGTTGGAGAGATTCGGAAAGAAATGAATAAGGATCTAGTTTTTGCTCCTCTACCCATTTGGAGGCAAGTCTCTCACATACCTCCTTAAGATAAAGAAAATAACTCTCTTTGCTTCCAGGGACTTCTGGAGAATCAATATGATCGTATAAATACAACCCTTTGAATCTCAATAGAAAACTGCTATGCAAATACAAAGTTGCATTATTCCAGTGAATAAATAACCCAACAAGTATGTGAACATATGTGCAAATGCACAATTCATGGGGTAAGGGGTGAAGGTACTGAGAGTTTTTCTAAAACTTACTCTATGATAACACAGAAATCATAGTCACCTTGCCACCTCCCAGAAGAATATAAGACCAATTCTACCGCATCATCAGAAAGACTGACTTTTCTGAATGATTGTCACAAGCACGAAAGTATTTCTAAAATGTGGACAACTTTTTTTTAATGCAGACTTTATAAGTTTGCACTCTGGCATGTAATTATAGAGCAGATTTTTATGATTTATTTTCTATAGTTTAAGGAGATTTGGATTTGCCAAGGGAATCAAAATCAATCAATCCTACTTAAATGTACTTTAGAGAAGATTTCATATAAAATACAATTGCAAATAATGAGATCACAAAATGCAGCATTAATGAAAGATTAGGGCAAAAGGGCCAAAAGTGGGGAAGAATATGTTTGATGACTACACTTCTCAGATTTCCTGGAATATTTCAAATTCCAAATACCCTGTCCCACTCTTGTCATAAACTATTGAAATGACCCAGGGATTTCAATACTCAGCATGCAAGTTAGAATTTTCACAAAGCTTTTTATACCCAAAAGTAATCCAGATGTCCTTTAAAGAGCATGCATTCTGATGATTTGATACAGAATAGGAAGTAAATGTAGGAAACAAATCCAGTAAATACTGAAGCAATGTGAATTTTATAAAAGATATTCATAAATCACATTTAATGATAATTGTTTTTCAAAAGCAGCTCCTGGTATCCAGTGCTCATCTGGCACCCACAGCTAGGCTTGGTGTTTTCCTGCTAAACCTCAACAATTTGAAAGAACACCAATATCAGACAAGACCACTTGGTGACCAAGATGGATCGAGACAAAAACAAGAACACTCTGTAATCGTGTGGAACACAGGCAAATGCATGAACACAAAAATGACTGTCCCCACATTCTGGCTACTATGACTAACTGCTGCTTCTTTACCAACCATAACTTTAGCTTTACAATGTTCTTCATGCCTTCTAGTTAAGAATTAATAAGATATTTAATCACAGAATTACTCACGCTTTCATACAGCATCTAATCCAGAGCAAAGTTTCACTTTCTTGGACCCTCCCTAGAGTCACCTAACACAAAACCAAATCACGCAATATATCCTCTCCGATGCCGTTACTATGAAATCCCACAGTTATGGTATGCATTCTCCATTGTGACAATAAGTAAATAAAGCTAACTTTGTTCAAATACAGGTATATTCTTGTTTTTTTGTTTTTGTTTTTTGACTGAAGGGCACAGTAAGTATAGATGCATTGTATCTCAACAGAGAAAACAAAATATGTTAATTTTGCCATAATAATGTCATTATTTTTTTATATATCATTTCATTTCTTCAAAGGATATAATAACTAAAAATGGGACCAATGGTTTTATGCACCAGCATTCAAGTACTAGCTCTTCCTTCCTTTCTTCTTAATTCTCAAAATAATTGCATTAGAAAACTGTGTGAGTAATTGGAAAATAATCATATACTTTGAAACTAAATAGGAAATAGAAACTGAGTACATGTATGAATTCATACAAAATCATTCACAAAAAGCAAGAAAGGCTGAAATAAATGAAAGGATTGCATGGCTCTATCAAGTCTTTTAAAATCACAAATAATGCACATGATAAATTTTAATTTGAAATTTAACATGTTGCAAAGATGCCACAGAACTCTTATATAAGAGTTAGGTGTAAGCATTGTGTATATTAGCAGAAACAATACACTTAATCCCCCACTTTGAGAAACGAATCTTATATTGATTTGAGGCCTCTTGTCCTATAATTAACCACATTTGATGATTAATATCTGTACCATGTGAAATATTATAGACTACAGTGATAAGTCAGTGCTTCTCAAACTTTAATGTTCATACAAATAACTTGGAGATCTTGTTAAAAAGCAGATCCTGACTCAGTAGATATGGAGCAGGGCCCCAACTTGTACCTTTTTAAGCAATTCCCCAGTGATGCCAATGGTTCTGGTCCAAGGATCATATTCAGTAGCAGAGATATAAAAATTAAATGTTGTAAGGGAAGACTAAGATGTTTCTAGGGCTAATGCTCATGCCTGGCATCATTACCTACTGAACTGTTGTTACAGCCCGTGACAAGCCCCAACACTTCATCCAGAGAAGGTTGGCAGTTGACAGTTGGAGGCTGTCTGGCAGCCTAAGGTTACCCTGGCAGTAGTGAGGCAGCTGAATAATAAATCTGCTTCCTGCTGCATTAGCCACGATTCATACTCCAACAGGGCAAAACCAGAATATTCATCTTATGAAATTAAAGGCAAAAGGAACCCTGCCTTTATTGGTATTTCTTATCTTATCTACCTTTGTGTCTTTGTAACTCAACAATCGTCACTTCCCAATATATTCTCTCCACTCCCCAATGTTTGGCTCAATTCATGCTTTATATGTAATTCATGCCTTGACATTACATTTCCATATGGTTTCCTTGAGGTTTTGGTCAGTTTGCTATTGAATAATCATAGACACCAAAAAACTAGACCTGTTCAAGGGAAACCTTGGGAGGACCCTATGTCTCCTGTTATAACCCAAAAGCTAAGAGATGAAAGGGGCCTAAGACTTCATCTAGTCCAGTGGGCTCCACAGGTGTTTGGTTTGGGACATGTGATGTTCACGAATGATGTGGGACTGCCATAATGTGGCAGGTAAACCATCTCACATGCCCGCAGGCCAGCTGTTTTTTTCATAGTCACTATGCAGGTGTGCCTGTGTAATAGCTAATGGAACTAGAGTCTCAATATGAAACTCTACCCATATTTTGGACTCAGGTGACCTGGATTGCTAAGTGTATTATTGCACACACATTAAGTAATTGGACTAAGTAATTGCACTAGAGTTTCCGGGTCAGTGGCTAGGGGAACCAAAGCTTAGAAAGACCCAATTTGAGGCATCTCCGGATTAGCTGACAATCATAGACAACTTTCAAGTGTTTTCCCACTTGAGAAAACTAGGTGAGAGTATAATAATACACATGCTTACTTCATTTGATGCCATCCTTGTATCTTTTGCTGAGATCTAAGCCCATTACATGTACCAGAGAAAAAATGATTTGACTAAGATCTATGCATCTGAAGACTCATTCTTATTCTTTCTCAAACAAGTCCTCTGCTGGATTCCTTACGGAAAAATTTAACAAAATGTCGGTACATTTAACTTCATTGTATGACCTTCTAACTACTATATTATATGTGCTAAAAAAAAATCACAACTAGAAGGTACACAAAAAATAAAAATACAAACAACTAAAACAAAAATCATGGAAGTAATCACACTAAATTATTTCTGAGGTTTTCTTTTAATTCTCATATGCTTAATATTCTCTTTAGTTGACTGCTAGACATCAAAGAAAAGATGTATAGGAGAAACCTTTTTAATTTAGAAAAATCTATTTTTAAGAGAGGGAAACAATCTCCCTCAATCAGTTTTAGTGGTGGAACACAAGAATTCTCAGGAGAAAAAAAGTCAATTGCCATAATTTACAAAAGAGCAAACTAAGATTGCAAAGAAAAGTAGAGAAAAATAACTAAAATACGTGGTTATTGGGAAAGCCAGAATTGTAACCGAAGTCCATTATTATGTCTTCCCTCTATATCACAATATGCTTAGAGATTTTAGGCCTTAGTAATATCTTGCACATAGTAAGCTCTCAAATATGCCTTTCTGAAAAAGAAGTGAATATATAGGTGCAAGGGAGACGTTCAATTCATACTGCTAAATCAGACCCATGATGATGCTTATTTTTGCTACTACTCTCATGTCACTAAAGAGATCTCAACAGAATCAATGAGCCAATTCGTAGTTCATCTTCTAGCCAAATTTCTAATCATATGTCCAAACATTAAAACACAGACCTTTAAGTCAAATGCAAAACCATTTTGCTTTTGTATTGAGAAAAAAAAAAGAGATTAATGTAAGTATCAAGAATGCATTATAGGGCCGGCCGAGTGGCTGAGTTAAGAGCGCAAGCTCCGAGCAACAGGATCGCCGGTTTGATTCCCTCATGGGCCAGTGAGCTGCTCCCCTAGCTGAACTGCCACTGAGCTGGTGAGAGCACCTGCTCCTAACAACAAGGTTGCTGGTTCGACTCCCGCACAGGAACGTGGGCTACGCCCACTCGCAACTAAGATTGAACACGGTATTTTGAGCTGAGTGGCCATGAGCTGCCGATGGGCAGCCAGATGGCTACTAGACTTGAAGCTGAGCTAGCTGCGCCCTCCACAACAAAGATTGAAGGACAACTTGGCTGTTCCCCTTCCCCAATTCCCCAATACAATTCCCCAATAAAATCTTTAAACAAACAAACAAAAAAGAATGCATTATAGCTTTATCATTTACTACAGACTACATTGGTAATCAACTAAGGAACCTATAAAAATAAAACCTGTAAAATATAAAACCTATAAAAATAAAACCTACAAAAACAAATACTTTTGTACCAATCTACTTTTTAAAATGAATGCAATTACCAGTATGAGGAGGTAGAACTTTGGAACCTTCAGATGTTTTCATTGTAGGTACAATCCATGGCTTTTCACTTGAAGCTAGAGCAAAAAGAAATGAAACTTGTTGAAGATTTTTTGGGGAGGACGAAGAGACAGAAATAGGTTGCTGCTATGATTAAGTGACTATCAGAGGCCTGCAATAAAAAGCACATACTAATCAGATCAAAAGCCATCACATATCCAGAAAAAATCAATATGTGCCTATCCCGAGAGCATTTGATTAATGACTAGAGAGAGACCAGAGTTTGGCACCAAACTCTCAATGTTTTTGAGGACAGAAAACTAACTTAATGGGTTATATGTAAATAACGGACTGATGATTGTTATTAAATTTGTAAAATATCCAATCAGACAAATATAATAGGTTGCTTTTTTTTTTTTTTTTAAACCAAATCAACCACTTGTTTGGCTGAGTTAACAGAATTCATTGGTTCATTCAGGTTTGTAAAGACAGGACCCAGTAAATGTGTCCTGCAGAATTAAGCAATCACCACCCACATCTGAACACCAGATTTCAGGTGCTGTTATTACCCAAGGTGCCCCCAGGTTTCTCAAAAAGGAAGGGTGTTTTTGCCTGCGGAAATTCTGGAAGTCTTTTCGGAGCTGTAATGAAACATAAGAAATGTTATGACTTGAAGTGCAAGTAACAGAGAAAATAATTTTTAAATCTCAAGCTTGCTAAAACACAAAACAAACAAAAATGCAAATTATTCATGTTAAGGAAGGAACTGTTAGTAATAAAGCTTCTTTTTCTATTTTTTATATTCAAGGCACTATATTTGAGGAATTGGGCTCTTCTTTTCCCCTCTATTAAACTAGCTCCCTAATTTCTTCACCTGTGTATAGTGCTCTTAGATATATTTCATTTAAACTCAAATCAAGCACCAAACACATCTGAACTAGAAAATGGCCTTCTAATAGATTTTTAAAATAGAATTTTGGCAACTACATGGCTTTATATTTAACACACCCTCCTCCAACAACTTTTTAAATATTGTACTCTTGAAGAAATTCTAAGAATTTTAAGAAGCAGTCTGTATAAATATAAATATATCTTCTATGTGAAGAGTAACAATTGAATCAAAAGATATTCAGAAAAAATAGAATTTATTCAGTGACACAATGATTTGGAATTAAAAGAATCAAATATAACATCAAAATATGACCACCAAAACAACAACAACAACAACAAAACAACTGAAGGAGTTGTCATAGAGACAAGACTCTTTAGTATCCTAATTAAAATAAAGATTTTTATAACATTTAAAAACTTAATGTTGGAGAGCTTGTTGTTTTATAAGCATGTATCCCTTCTTTCCTGTGAGGAGATAAATTTGAATAAAGTAGCCAAAGGCTTCTTTCAAGCATGCATAAGATTTCTCAAGTAATAAACTGCAGTGTTTAATATTTTTTACCTAGAGTGCTCAGTGGCAATTCAAACCTAGGTATTAGGATAGTTTGCCATGGTTCCGGGGTTCTTTCGCTGAGAACTACAATAAAGAAGAATTCAGTTAGCAATTGCATGAGTTGGGATTTGACATTGTGGCTTAACCATGATCATGTGACACATGCTCATAACAGAGTGTGCACCAGGCAGCTGATGCCTTTCATGGAAATAGCTGGCTTTCCCTGGAAAAGCTTTACACAGAGGTTAAAATTTGAAGGTACACTTCCAAAAGGTGTGGCATGGAAGATCAACATCACAAGTACAAAACAAAATACATGTACATGCTTCTCCTTTTCTTCAGGAGAAGAGAACAAAGCAAGTTAGATTCTCTTGGGCCAAGAAGTAGCTATAACATGCTTGACATGAAATTCTTATTAGAAAGCATGACACTTTTGGGGATTCTCCTTAAGTTTAGTACACACGAGACTTGGAAAAGCCAATCAAAACAAAAAGCACAGACATTGTCAAGACTTCCAGGTTTCCCCCACTCCTCCAAGCTTTGTGGGTTAAAAGGCTGGCATTCTGTTTTTCTGTACATCCCAAGACATTGGTGAAAACAATGTGTAGTTAGCATCTAGCATCCAGAGCTGCTTAGAATATCAGTCAACAGGACCAAGGCATGTTGTTAACTCTTTAATGGAATTGGTCCAAGAAATAGGAAGATTAACTACTGCCCGTAAGGAGGGGAGAGATGGCGGGAAAGTTAAAGTATTGGGTTACTTTTCTATGAGTGCTGGGAGGATTTCTTTTGGTTTGTTTGTTTGTTTTGGAGAAAAAGTTCTTAGAATTACCCAGTGTTGTTTCTGAAATGTCTAACGCACTAGACACAGTGGGTTTAGTGGTTCTTGGAACCGATTCAGGAGTCACTAGAAGGTAAAAAAGACAACTTTACAAATTAAGATAAAATGATGAGGCATCCAAAGACTGTATGACACTTCTTGCCCTTTAGAAATAATAACTGACACTTACATAGCTTATTACTGTTCAAGTTACTTATTCTAAGGACTCCCTGGCTTGTCCCAGGTGCCTGAGCTGAAATTCTTTTCTGGGTTTGGTCCACTTTCCATGTGTTCCAAAAAACATACTGAACTGACTTCCATGAAAGCACTTATCAGATTAATCATAATGTTTTATTTGTCTGCCTTTTCTTTCTCTTTATCTTCAGAGCTTAGCACAATGTCCAGGATATAGTAAGCAAGCCCATGATAAATGTTTATTAAATGAATAAATGGGCACATAAAAGAATGACGCAGGGCAAAAAGGTTTATTTAGAACTATTACATTATAAGATTTCCCTCTTTCAAACTACAGTCAACATGCAAAGGCTGGAACTGGGTTCAAATTATGATAAGGATTCAAATGCTTAGCCACAAGTTTGTTCCAAGTGTTAGATCAAAGGCAAGGATGACGTTGGCTAAATGTGTAGTTTTCAAGAAATAAGAACCAGGATCACTGAGATCTGGGATGAATTGTGAGCTAGAAAATTCCAGACTTTTGCAGGGTAAGGACATGTGATAATGCAATAACACTGAATAATAAGCAATGGTGTTTGACTAAGTGTTTCTGAAGTGGAAAATTCTGAGGAAGATTTGGCAGAAAACTAAGAAATCTGTAGACTCTCCCATGAAATACTGTGCCAAGAGAAAAAAAAAAGTATAATTGGGTAGAATCTTTGGGGCAGAAAAGAACGTGGAGTCATCCACTGGGTCATGCCTATGTTTTTCTCGGTATTGAACAATTATATTGAAATCATAAAATTACCTAGGAATTTCATTTAAATAAATTATTTCAGTATCTTGAATAGGTTCTACCTCTGCCCCAACTTCTGCGAAGGTGAGGGATGGAAGGTCTTCTTGCTCTGTCAGAAACATCCCTACCTGAATAGGTTTCTTAAAGTTATTTTATTTCCTCATCAATTTTTATCTTCTCTGGACCAGTTATCAGTCCAAGAGTTTAGTACAAGGTAAATATCACTAATATTTCAATTTATAGCAATCTTGTGCGTTAAAAAATTCACTTTCAATTGGAGTTACTTTGCTAAATGTGGATTTAAGGGAATTCTTGCCAGATGTTTGTTTCACTGAGTCCTAGATGAGGTGGTATTGCTCTGGCAAAAACTCTGTAGCTCAGAGAATAATATATACCCAGTGGGCTGGACTTGGGCAGCTCATTCATAGAAGAAATGCTGAATATTTTTTTATAGTAACGGCTGACAAACTGCGGGGAAAACGCATACAGCATTTATTCTAGCTGAACTATTATATATTCCCTACATTAGGATTGTTAATCTTCCAGAAATATTGTTGCTGAATAATTCCAGCATACTTTCATAGATCTCAAGCTATGGATTTGTGAAAGATAATGACATTTTGCTAAACTGACCACTTATGAAAGTGAAGAAATGAAAAATGGTCTTATGTCTTCATGTAAAAGGAAAGTACCAAAACCAGGTATTACATTTTAACATAAACATATTTCAGAATGTTGAAGCAATAACTTTCACTTCAAGTGAAAAATACAGTTTCCATATTACATATCAGTTATATGAGTCATCTGTTGTTTTTTGCACCTGTTTTTCCAAACATTAGAATCTCCTATCATTTTGTGCTTATGAGCTACTGGCTCTTCACTGAAAAAAAAAGTATAGGCTTGTCAATCATTTACTATTTGAAAACATATCACTTATTCTCTCAAAGTTAACAACAAGGGGATCACATTACCTGTTATGGGCTGAGCTGGGATTTTTTCTACCTTTGGTGTTTTAGATTCAGCAGGTAATGCTAAGGTTTCATTCTTAGCTAAAAAAAAGTCAGAGAACAAACAATTTACCTCACTTCCTTATAACACAGTGTCCAATATAATTCATTCAAAACAAAATCAAGTAAGAAACTATTTCCAGAATTCTATTTGGCTCTTATCCCTTCCCACCAGGCAGTTAACAAATTTACTGTGCATTTCTACCAGGGATTAGATGACAGTCTTCAGAATTCCTTCTCATTAACCCTAGGTAATTCTTAAGATTTAAGTTGGCAATGGAATGAAAAAAAAAATCAAAACCCAATACTTGGATAATGCTCATGTTATTCTGATTCATAGAGTTTCTGGAAGGCATAGATTGTATTTCAAATACTCCCTGGAGTTTTATATTCAAGTATTACTAATTTAAAAAATTCAATGAATAAAAAATTTCCATTATTATGCATGGTAAAACATGTAATAGGGTATGATACTAAAATTTTAGAAAAGCACAAATAACACACATGGGAAACTAAATTTTTTGAAAATATTTGTGGCAAAAGAATACCAACAGTAATTTATTTGAGTCTTATGTTAACAAAGATATTTTCTTTTGGTCTCTGTAGGAATTCAGTGTAAAGAATATAATCCTTTTTTATCCTTTTTTAGACAACTATTTAGGAGACTTCCTTCTAAAATTTAGGTATTCTTTTTCAAAGAAAGTACATTTTTATACCAGAGTTTCTCGATGATTAAGATATTCTCTATTTTAAATGGATTAACTTGATTCAGCTATTTAGTGCATGCAATCAGTGACCTACTTGTACTATTTTGAAATAGTCTCGTGGCATGAGAGAATTCATTCATCTTTGAGATACCCTGATCATGTCACGTTGAACTGATTATAATCAGGTGGGAATTTTTAGAGCTCTAAGGCTGTACAGGAACTTGGGCTTCTCAACTTTGGCACTATTGACATTTTGGGCTGGATAATTTTTTGTGTTGGGGTCTTTCCTTTGCTATAGGATGTTTAATAACACCCCTGGCCTTTATCCACTGGACTTCACTAGCACTTTCATAGTTGTGGCAACCAAAAATGTCTCCATACATTGCCAAATAATGCCCTGGGGGACAAAACTGCCCTCTGTTGAGAACTATTAGTTTAATATGTTCTCTCAAATCTCTTTGAGGATGCAAATTTTGCAACCTCCTTCTGTAGTTCACATCACTGCTGTAAAGACCATTTTCTTCTTTTCAGTTAACATAGGCACAAAACATGTATTTTCTTCTGATGGACAGACAATTATAAAGTCATCCCTTGCACAATGTTAATAGAAGTCAATCAATTTTTAACCTGTATTACAGAAGCATACAACAGATTCCTACATACAGCTAATTATTTTCAGGAGTGATTTAAAATGCTAGAATAGGTGTCAGAAGCACTCCATACTTGCCATATCTAATAGCCAAGTGTGTGTTCTGGATTCATGTGCGCATGAAGTTGCGCTACTCATTTGCACCACAGAAATGTTTAACACCATTGTTCAAATTAATTTAGCAGAAGGGACTCTATTTCTAGAATAACTAAGAAACAGATCCTGTAGAATTTTATGGAAAATTCTATTTTTAAAATTTCTAAATTTTATCAACATTTTTTCCTGCTTTTTTCATAGTCAGAGTTTTTGTTTAAAACCATTGTGATTGTTAGCACAGGAAAAAACATTCAGATTACAAATTTTTATGAGCTCTGGTCCTGTTATTTTTAGCATGTGACATAGGAAGGTGTGTGTTTTTATTTTTTAAATATAAGATTTTAATGTTTTTCTTTAATGTTCTCTTCTTTTTCAGTGTCCTCTTATCCTTTGGCACACCTTTGCTAATCCTCTCTTACCTGTGTAATATCCTATGTTCTTGGTGGTTCCCTGGCTGAGTAGGACTGACTATCTATCTATCTATCTATCTATCTATCTATCTATCTATCTATCATCTATCTATCTATCATCTATCTATCTATCATCATCTATCTATCTACCTTCTATCTATTTTTAACTTCCAGGTCCTAGACCATGCAATGTTTTGAATTGCTTTGTTTTAGCTGCTTATATTCTAAACATATGATTAGCTGGCAATCAGATTAACAAAATTAAGCTCTTAATGAAGAAAAAATGGTAAACTACCTTCCCCAAGAGATATTTGCATTCTTTACACGTCACTAATTCCTTAGAAAGGCATATTGTATTTCTAAATATTGCATTTCAGGAGTCAGAGGTTTTGGCAGATGAAGAAGATATTTGAATTGGACTCTTTTTGCCTCCGATCAACTCATGAGCATTCACCTACACTATCTATGTACAACTGAAGTCTTGGCAATAGCAGAGTAAAATGCCATCAGAACAGACTAAAACCCAAGAAATTCCTTTTCCTCTCTGATTCTTCGGTACTTTTTTTCAACACACTTTTTCCTTTAATTTTTGGCAAGCTAAATCTTGGGTTTGGCGAACCCCTTGTATGTCCCTGGGAGATGTGGGTGCAATAGTAGCTTTCTTGTTTATTTCTTTCATTATTCATACCATGTGTTCTTAGAACAAAAGCTATTAATTTCTTGATGTTCCATGATGGGCCCTGCTGGAATAAAGATATTATTTTTAGAGTTTATCTCCCTAAAAAAACAGGACTTTTCTGTGTTGCAGTGATAAATAACTTCTGGAAAGTTTATTTCTCTCAATGGGACGTAAAGAACTGTTTATGCTCACACTCTTCATAAAAAACAAACTTAAATGTAATTTTTAAACACAGTATGTTGTTACATTTGATGGATTTACTAGACATTTCCAAACATACTGGCTATCAGTCTCTTTAATCCATAAGAAATTTATCATGTATTAAATTTAAGATAGGTGTCTTCCCAGAAATACAAGTTTAAAAATACATTTACTAATTGCATAGAATTTTTCTTCATTAAAATCACATTAAATCCTGAAGATTTAGTGAATCATATCAGGAAAACAAAAGCAAAACCAAACCAAACAAAAATTCACTGTTTCATTGTCTAAATAAAAAAAAAAAAAATACGCCGAATTGGTATTAAGGTAGCCTGCGGAACTTTGCAAAAACCAAATAAATTAGGAAACATCACTCAAGACTAAGGACTAAGGAATAAAACACCTTCCATTTCAAAACTGACAGCAGTGGTCTGGGAAAAACACTCTGCTCATTTTCAGTTTCCTTCACAAATCCTGGGTTTTATCGTTTTGATGGGCAGATTTGGGACCAAATCAATAAGAATAGACCAGCATCTCTTTTTCTCTTTCCAAACAAGTGTTGCCCAGGTGCAGGGCAAGATAGTATGTAGGCTCCAGGCAGAGGACAGGTGAGTGCAAGAGTCCTGAGCTCTGATTCCAAACACAGGTTTGCTGAGGGGATCTAATTTGGAAGCTTCCTGGCTTTTAGTGCAGCATTCAGATGACCTAGTTGAGTCACAATATTTTATAGTCAAAATGGAGGTGGCCGAATCTGATGTAAAATCAAGGAAATGAAGCCTGGACTCACTTGTCTACGTTCTTGGACTCACTTGTCTACGTTCTTGGAGGTAACTCACTTTAGGACTAATAGGTAAGAATATTTTGTAGTAAAAATGTAAAGAGTGCGCAAAATCACAAAGATTTACTGGCATATATTTTAACACCTTAATAAAATGACAATGCATAAGATTTGGAAACGTTTTCTAAAATCGTAAGTCTAATAGTCCACCTATTAAATGCTCTTCTACCCACTTTAGCCTTTGCTCCTCTTTCTTCCAGAAATTCTCAAAATTAACAGATAAGGGGAACATAAGAGTTCTCACCTTTTAAAACTGTTACAATCTGATTGTCTAGCGTCAAATAAGCAAACAGGTCAGGTCTTCAACAAGGGAAAGGAAATTAAATTTGAAGTCCTAATAGGGCCAGGTCCTGTGTCTGTGTCACTCACCATTATCATCCCCAGCAGCCTGCAGCTCTGACACAGAATAATGCTTAATTAGTATTTGTTGAATGAATGCTGCCAAACAGGGGCTTGGGCCTCTGTTTTTGCTTCCATATGGTATGGAGATCCAATTGTATAAGTGCTAAGCTTCTTAGCTGGTGCCTGCTTCAGGGAAAATAGTCTGCATTTTTAAGTCTTGTTCAATTTCTAACTTCTATATTTATCAATTGACCAAGTCATTCTCCAGAGGCTTTAGAGAGGTGGTTCTCAAAACGTGGTTCCCAGACTGGCAGCATCAGTATCACCGGGGTGCTAGTAAGAAATACCAATTCTCAGGCTCCACCCCAGACCTCCTGAATCAGTAACTCTGGGGTATGCCCAGCAGACTGTGTATTCACAAGCACTCTAAGACATCTGATGCGCCATCAAGTTTGAGCTCCTCTGCTGCAGAGAGAATTTAGACTAATTTGATACTAAAATTCAGCAACTAACTTAGCTCAGTGACCACCACAATTATTCCCTGGGCTCCTTTTAAAGGGTCTTGCTCTTTGGTTATTTTTTCCAAATTGTTATGTTTTATGTTTTTAAAACATTGAAATCATATCAGGTTCTTTCTCGAAGTAGGAAGCAATACCACTCTCAAGAAAATAATAATGCTAATAGACCTCACCTTTATATAAGTTCTCATTGAAAGAACCTAGTGGTCCCTTGATAGTATAGTATAATAAGTACAATTTATAACAATTACTCTATTTGAAAATTATACTATATAAATGTACGTATTTTGGATAATTTGATAAATGTTCACTCTTCTTTCATAAACGTAAATATACTTAACATTTTATATAAATATAACAATTTTCCTATAATGTTATTTAATACATTTAACACTCCAACCTCTCTGCCCCTTAAAATAGTCTTTCCAATTATTTGTATTGTAAAATTCACATAACACAAAATTTATGATCTTAACCATTTTTAAATGTAAAGTTCAGTAGTATTAAATACATCCATAATGTTGTGCAACCATCACCACCAGTCTCCAAAATTCTTATCATCTTATAAAACTGAAACTCTGTTCCCTTAAACACTAACTCCCTATTTCCCTTCTTCCTCCAGTCCCTGGCAACCACCATCCTACTTTCTGTCTCCATGAATTTGACTACTCTAAGTACGTCATCTAAGTGGAATTGTACAGTATTGGTCTTTTTGTAACTGGGTTGCTTCACTTAGTCTAATGTCCTCTGGGTTCATCAATATTGTAGCATGTGTCATAATATCCTTCCTTTTTAAGGCTGAATAATATTTCATTGTGTGTATCCACCACCACATTTTGCTTATCTATTTATCTGTTGATGGACACTTGGGTTGCTTCCATGTTTTAGATATTGTGAATAGTGCTATTATGAACATGGGTGTACAGATACCTCTTTGAGAACTGTTTTTCAATTCCTTTCATTATATACCCAGAAATGGAATAGTTGGATCATAAGGTGATTTTATTTTTTGAGGAGTGGTCATGCTATTTCCACAGCAGCTGTATCATTTCACATTCCCATCAACAGTGCACATGCCTGTTCTTTTTTACTTTGAGATCCCAAACAATTCATCTGCTAGATTCCTTGAATAATTAAGAATATCAGTGCTAGTACCCAATCACTGCAAATTCCAAACATAGAATTCTCCTGCTTACCTAAATGTGTCTTGATTGTATCTGAAATCTCAAACATTATGGATGTAGGAAGTTTTACGGTGGTGTCATTAAGACCTGGAATAACAAGATGGACTGCAAGGAAATAGAAGTAAAGATAAGAGGAAGAAAATGCATCATGACAAAAAACAAAGCTCAGAGCATCAGATACTAGTAACTATGAAGCTTAGCACTTATTTTGCTGAGTCAATTTTAACCCAAACTTCAAAATGTTGGAAATACATAATAGTACCTTTTAAATAGAATCTTTTTCATATTCAGAACTGAACTACCAAAATCCTCTGGCATTTAATCCATGGACTAAAAAATTGCAATATGGCTGCTTAAGATTGCTGGTGAACAAAGAACACCATTATTAATAATAATTTTTAAAAGAGCAGTTCAATATGACAAAGACTTCCTTGTAACTGCAACCACCTGTGGGGCGGGTAGGATGGGAGCCATCATTCCTACCAGGCATGGGCTAGAGTTGTTTCTCTACCATATTTTGATAGAGGTAGCATCTCTTGGCTCCTAGCTTTGAATCGACACAGCCAGGATGTTAAACGTTCAAAGGAAATCATCCAACATCAATTTAACAGACTTGCTCACAGTGCAAAATTCCATAAAGGCTCCATTATCAAAAATAGCCTGACTTGCTTAACCTAGGTATAGATTTCAAGATAGACTCACCTACTATTGTTCCTCCAGTGGGAGTCCTATCTGGAGATTTACTTGAAGCTCTGTGAGTAACATTCTGAATCACTGTTGAAATAAGAAAAGATAATAGTGTGATAGGAAAAAAAAAAAAAAGCCAGGAAGCAGCAGCAAGCTAATAATGTGAAGCCGTCTGCCCTGGGGGAGCCCTGATCTAACTTTTCAATTAACAGAAAGGAATTCAGTGAGCTGGCTGCACAGCCAACAAAGAGCTAGAAGGCACATCTTACCTTGACATCTGTGCCTTCAAGTAACAAAAGGCTATTACTCTACCATAAAGTGTTCCATTCTAATGAGCTGAGAATTTACTTCCTCATTTCCACTCCCTGTAGCCTACCCAAGTAAAGGACTATCACAAAATGAGGTAATGACATAATAAATAAATAATTTAAAATGTATAGCCTCCAAACAAAGAAACTTTGGATAATTCCAATACTAACTGACCCTGTTTTGAGAGTACACTTGGGATATTGTATTTTCTTAAAATGAAGAAATATTTTAAGTGCCCAGTCTTTTCTACCAAGACACTTTCTAAAAGTAATAAAGTCAGTTTGATAATTTGAAAAACAAAGTCAAAAGAAAAAACGACTGGATGCTGAAATAAAACAAGGCATAATAATTCTTGAAACCTGGATGTCTTTACCTATAGTGACCACTAAATCATAGTTTTCATTTCATTAATCCAAATAGCCTATTATTTTCCTCACATATGCTTATTTAACCCTGAACAAAGCTACACATATTTAATTGGCTTTTTAAAATTGAATACTACTTATGATTGCTTTGTCCCTAGTTGTCCAATCAATGCAACTTGCCAAGACTTGGGTTTTTGGTACAAGAGCCAAAATTTTACCTATTAACTTCTAATTTACTAGAGCAGATTGATTTCTTCAAACTTTTTCTGAAAAGAAATAATCAGAAAAATTGAGAAAATATGTGCTATGTTTAATTGTCTCTTTTAAAAAGTGTATTAAAAATAGTTCTAAACACACATCCAGAGCAGACACATACAAATTACCTTGTTTGATGATTGTTATTGGGATCAGCTTCCTTGGGACATATGCTGGCTGAAAGAGAGGAAAAAAGAGTCAGCTTTTGAGTTAGCATTAACTTTTTTTAAATAATAATTCAAAGAACTGGAAGTAGCCCTTCCTTGTCTTCAATGAAGTCTCCCATGACACTGGTTTAACAGTTGCTGAAACATCTTTAGTACACATGTATCTGCCTCTATTTTATTGGACTCTCTTGGTTTTCCCCATTAGTGTCCAAAGATTTGACAGAAGCAGTTTTTTCAGAACTCCCATTAGTTTAGCTTAGAAACTGCAATGGAAAGAAACTAAATCCTCTGGATTGAATACTAGTTTATTTTCACTTCATTTGAGATGTGGCCCAGCCAAATTCTGTCTTTACATTCCCTCTCAAAAAGCTCTTAAGATATATATTATCTTTTGAAACCAAACATCAATTGTTTGAGTGTACCCAACAGCTGCCGTTGCTACTACACACAACACAACTGCCATGAGCTCCTGACACCAAGCATCTCCTTAGCCAAGAAAGCAGAGCTGTGAATCAGAGCAAGATATTTCTACTTATAAAGGCCACACCAGCTAAACTTAACCATTCTGCACATTTTTATGCACAAAAGGACCTCAGAATTAGAAGGGCAGGTCCCAGGGAAATGTGCATTCTCCCCTCCCTCAAGTTGCCTGAGATGTCCTACAGGAAACTTTGGTGTCATAGAGCTACTTGAACCAGGGACAGGTTTAGTGTTACCTAGAAAGTGGGGTCATCACCGGACAAAATGATGAGCCAAGGATAAGACAGCCAAAGGAGATACATGGGAGCAGGATAATAGAGGGCAGCAAATACATAGAGAAGAATTAGATTGAGTTAAAGGGGCAAGCCTGACATAAATTCTTTGATCCTTAATTTAACCTGATACATGATATAGGTACTCCACATACCAGATCTGCTGATAATTCAGGATGTGATAAATGAGATACTTACAACATAGTTGTAAGCAAAAGAGATGTGCTAACATGTTACCATTTTAATAAATGACATCGCCATAATAAAGAATGGCCACAATATCAAGTTACTGTTGTCTATTTTTTTCTTGTATTAAAGCTCTTATGTTTAAAAGCCACACAAAATGTTTACTATTATCAGATTATTTTTAAAAGGTATATATAGACCTATTGACCCAGTGCTATAGACTGAATGCTGTGTCCGCCCCAAAATTCACATGTTGAAACTCAATCCCCAATGTGATGGCATTAAGAGGCAGGAAATTTGGGACAGGATTAGGTCATGAGGGTGGAATCCTTATAAATGGAATTAGTGTCCTTGTAAAAGAGACCCCAGAGGGCACCCTCCACCCTTCCACCATGTGAGGACACAGCAAGAAGATGGCTAGCTGTGAACCAGGAAGTGAGTTCTCACCAGACACCAAATCTGCCAGTGCCTTGAAATTGGATTTCCCAAGCTCCAGGACTTTGAGGAATAAATGTTTGTTATTCAAGCTACCCAGTCTTTGGTATTTTTGTAATAGCCCTGTGGATTAAGACACCCAAAATTTCCTCCTTAGCAACCTAGCCTAAGGAATTAATCAAAGGTACAAATAATCTTCTATGTGTAATGGTGTTTTTTACCACAACGTGAAACAACGTCATTATCTAAAAGTAGAGGTTTTATTAAATAAGCTGTGATTCAAATTTTTGACGTCTATGTAATACACTAGAAAAATACACATAATATAAATAAATACAAATGATATAAATTTAGATCCATTGTATAACCTAATTTTACAACAAATTTGTATAGACAAAAGACCAGAGGAAAGTAGATCATAGTTTTTTTAACAGTAGATTTCTTATAAGTTGATATTAATTTTGTATGTCTTTCTATATTTCTCAAATTTCTTACAAGGGTGAATTACGCTTATAATTAAGACACGTTATTTTAAACAAGTCTGTTTAGCTCCTACATATGCTTCTGTACCGTACAGCTTATACTCTATTGGTAAATAGAAGATGATGTAAATACAATTTATACATGATTTTCCCCAGGCAAGTGGAGGGGAATAGAACTAGAAGTATAACCTTTAGCAGGAAAGAAAAAAATATTCTCAGCTTCGATGTCACACTGGCAGCAGGATTTCTTTCAGCTTTATTATAAGAAAATTACATGTGAGCACTTGCACACAGGATTCTTCCCCAGAGAGGGACAGCCAGACCCTTGGCACTGCCTCATGTGTCTACCTCACTTCTGCCAGTCCTGCTCCAGAAAAAGGGTTGCCAGCACATGGACTCTCTCATTTCTGAGAATCTTAGATGCCTGCTGTGATAATCTCCATCACCTGGGAGCCCCTTGCCAGAGTAGCCACCCCATCTTTACAGGTAGTAGTAATCATTTTTGTAAGAGCTGTGGCTACCGTTCCATGTTTGAATGCCTTGTTCTCTACCTGGCCCTATGAATCCTGCCATTGAGTGGCTGTTTTGCTGAATGTGAAGGTTTCAGAGACAGGTCACATTGGAGCACAAACGCCTACGTGTTATTGTGGTGATTGCCTTTGAATTGCATGATCCCAATTTTAATTTCCTTTGCTGTGATGATTTGTTTTAAACAAATTTTTTTACAAGGACAAATGGAAAATATTCCATTCTTCCCATTAATAGAACAGTTTCTCTTCGAGTTCTTACATGAGTACAGACCCATGTTCTATTAAGATGATGACAAGACTATATGTACAATATGTGCTGCCAAAAAATAAGGAAATCATTTAGCTGCAGTATCCAATTATTTTTCAGACCTAAAAGTATTCTCTTGCCTAATCTGTAAACCAAAGATGCACCAAGACTGGACTAATGAGCAAGCAGCTGCCTCTCTGTGAGGTTTTCAAAGGGTATCAGGAAAGTCCGTCTGTCCAAAATGTCTATGTGGAAGGCACTAAAATTTCCAAGAAGACATCCTCACTGTGAATCCTTTCCCTGTGTCTTATAAAAGTGTGGGGAAATGGCTGTTCCTCAGTGAGACATGAAATATTGTGATAATTTCCAAGTTAACAGTGCTTAACCAATTAAAACCCAATTTTCATTGAACTGTTTCATGTACAGTGTTTGTTTGTGTGTTTGCTTTTTGTTTTTAGGGTACCAGTAACCTCTTCCTGCGGTCCCAGGTTTGCTGTTATGGACATCTAGCAATGCGCACGGAGGTCTCAGTGTAGCTAGTGTGGGGCCTGGGGTTGGGGAGTGAGGTCCTGCAAGTCCCCCAAGCTGCTGCGCAGTTCAGCTGCTGTGGCCTCAGCAGAATACTGCTCTCTGTGGATGCCACCTGGGTACCAGTTTTCTATTATCTTAGGCCATTTCCCTTTCTGACTTGTCTCTCTGCAACTTGCAGACTCCCATTCCTGCTGCAAACCTCCATCACCACTTCCTTCTTCAGTTCTCAGCCCTCCCTTTGGTCAGCAATTATTATTTTAAATGTTTACTATATGCCAGCAAGTATGCGTATTTCCCTCTTGCCCTATAAGAGATGCATTATTTTATATTTTTCTAAGTTTCAAGATTTCCTGTCCCTTAAGAACTCTGGTTGTATTATATCTTGAGCAAGAAATAAGGGAATTCATTTTTGCCATTTTTTCTGGGACATTGTGACCGAGCACCCAGTTGGTGGGATTCGATGGAGAGATTGATGCGGAAGTGGTAAAAGGCAATGCCCCTGATGCCAGTTCAGCCTGATTTTTAGTCCTGGTTTCAGAAAGCCTATGCTTATTGAGAAACCACAGCATCACTGATCATACAGGATGAGGCACTTTTGATTCACCCTGCATTATCCTAACTTCCTCCTCTTATTATTTTGAAAATTAGCTGTAATAAAAATAGTGCTACCACCAGGATGCTATTCTTTGCAGGTTATTCTTTTGCAGGTTTGCCCATTCAATATTTTTGTGGTATCAGAATATTCGTTGTAGATTTAACTATATGTTCAGGTCCTGAGATAAGTGGAAGCTGTCCATTTGGGGAGTGGCTAAGGGCTGCTCAAAATCAAATTTCAATGGCTCACAAAACAAACCACATGAGAGGAACTTGAACATGTTACATCCTGGTTTTAATTCATTTTAGGGAATGTTCTAATCAAAGTTATGAAACACTGATTTAATCTAACATCTGGTTAAAAGTGACTCTAATATTCACAAACCCTGCTTGCGAAAGTCTTCCTATTTCTGGTATGCTGGGGAGGAATCAGACATACACCTTTGGTGATCTCGTTGGCCTAAATATTAATTTTTCAAGTTTCTACTTAGGATGATTGCTAAGAATAGAAGGACACCTGTGTTGTTCATTGTACACAATCTGAAGGTGTGGGTGAGGACCATCCGTTATTTCTCACTATTCACTTGTCTGATAACTGTTCCACTTGAACAATTGGTATGTCTTTTTGCCAATAATATGCATGGCTTTTAAAAAAGATAGGTGGATCTCTGATAGAAAAAATTGAAGGGTGAAAATAGATGTCATATTCTAAGGAGATTTAGATTAATTAAATTTATATTTTAAAATCTCTGTTAATAAATGCTATGTACTTCAAAAATTGGCTAGTTAGTGAGCTAGTTAGATAACTATGATTTTTTTAATATAGAGGTAATATATTAAAGTTAGGCCTTTTTAGACAGCTTAAAAAGTTTTTTTAATATAATAAAGCCTAATAGTAAGCATTAGGTTTCATCTTCATATAAAGAGTGTTCTAGATTCTCAACCTAGACAAAAGAGCACAATTATCATGAAAAAAGTGATTTTTCTTTCTCAATTATGTGACTCTCAAGTGATACGACATATAGAAAGAATCATGCTTTTGTTTATGCATACATCTTTTCTCTGATTTTTCTAGAGTATCAGCGGGGGTGATATTGACAGTACTTAATAGCTGATAGAACAAAGTCGCTAATCAAACAGAAGAGACCCCTGCTACATATCCCTGGCACAAGTGTCCTGGGGCTTGCCAGCAGAACACAGGTGTTCAGATACACAAATTACAATATATAATGTAACCATATGCTTAAAATGGGGGATGTATTCAACCTTCATTTTTTTGTACTTAACTCTTTCATTGTAAGTGATTAAAATTGCATTAAATCATTTCCCAAAGCCACATACATTAATACCAGGATCATTCTCTACATTGGGAGGCAATGGAACACTGTAATAAAAGCATATACTTCAGAGCTGAAAATATCTATCAACATTCAATTTTTAACCAAAATATTATTTCTTTTTTAAAAATGGATAGCCTAAATTTCAAATTGTTTTTCTCATTTCAAATATCTCTTTTTAGACGATATTAAGGAGTTTTTGCTGCATGTAAGTTTTAGGTGCAAGCACGTATACATAAATAAAAACATTTTTCAATATCTCTTTTCCTGAAAACCCTGAAAGTAAAACGTTTGGGATTAATTTAGTATCTTTTAAAATATTGCCTTCTAAGATCAGTCTCAGAGAAGAGACAGGTCAAAATTTAGATTGATATCAACTTTATTTCATTTAAAATATACCTCTAAAGTATCAAATCAATTTTCAGAATCAATTCTAAGTGGCCACTTAAGATGGTCAGACTGTCCTTTTCAACGTTCCTATATTCCAGAGCTACCCAAGAGCACACATGGCAGTTGGTGAAACATTTTTTTGCTGTCCAGAAGGTAACAAAGAAAGAAGCCTTAAAATATATTTTCAATTAATTTGGGTTTTTCTTTGGAAATAACCAAGAATTTCAAACTGCAGCTCTTCAGAGCTGGCTGAGGGTGCCCCACCTCACAGCTTGAAGTGATAAAATATCTGGCTCTGCATCATAGATGCAGGAAGTTTCTTCCTGGCTTTTTGTCATGGCTGTTATGATGTGAAAAATAAATTAAGTTTCTTGGGAGTAAAACGTCAATCATCTTTCCTAATCTTGCTGAGTAACTCACTAAGTGAAATAGTCTGCCAAAAGAAATACAAATTATTGGGATACAATCGCTGAAAACAAGGAATGCAAGAAATGACATCATTGAGTCACATGCAAGATAAAGCATGACAGCCAAGAGGGTGGAAGATAAAAAATGCTTCCTAGGAAACCATTCATAACAATACTGAGGATTGCTCTAGGAGAGAATGAAAAACTCTGTTTCCTGTGATTGGATTTAAAGCAGACAAAACCAAAGGGACCTTAAGGGGTGGCACAAATCAATACTTGGTACTGGGCCAATTGGTCAAGTGTTTGGGAAACATGTATTAACCTAATCAATATAGAACCTTATTATATACGACAGAGCAAAAGAATACCCACATATTAATAGTTAATTATTACAAAATCAAGCCACTTATAAAACTAAAAAAAAAAAGGAAATATTCATGTGCTCTCTGGCTAGAGAAGGGCTTTGAAAAATATAATTGGAGATATGACAATGCAAAAGACAATTTGATTAAGCAAATTTCAAGACTTGCCTATTTCAAAAATTCTTATAAGCAAAATTGATAAATGTGAGAATAATGTTTCTTCTATCACAGAAAAAGGGTTGATGTTCTTTAATCTATAAAGTTTTTAAACTCTTCAATAAAAAAACCCATGAAACACCCAAAAAACAAAAAGCTGAAACTAAAGGTCATTAAAGGAAAATACAAATGGCTAATAAACAAGTGAAGAAAGAACTGTTGTATCAGTAACCTGAGAAATATAAATTAAAAAAACATTTTATATTATTATATTAGATGGAAATTTAATAATGGAAATACACAATATTGATAATCAGGGTAACGTAGCAAATTAACCCTGATACATTGCTGGCAAGTTTGTAAATTGGTACAAACTTTCATTTTTTGGAAAGAAATTTCCAGACCATATATATTAGGAAGCATAAAAATGTTAAAAGTCTAAACTGTTAATTCCCATTCTAAGTATTTATTATAAGGAAATAATCAGAAATGTTCACCATATCACTTACAATTTAAAAAGCATTAGAAATAACTTAAATGCCTACAAAATGGAAACTGATTGAGTGGTGAAAGTGTATTTAGATCATGTAACACACAATTTAAATTATGTATATGAAGAGCATTTAATGGTATAAAAATGCTATGCCATATTTGACTAAGTGAAAAGAGATATAAAATTATAGTATGATTTTAATTTTATGATGAAAACATGCTTAGAAATAAAAAGTGTTCTGAAGTTTTAACCGTAGCCCATAACTAGTTTTATACTGGTCATCATTTGGCAGTCTAATAGGTAATTTTGTTAATATTTCTTTTGACATTTTTATATATTCTAAATCTTTAAATATTAGATAATTAGAGAAAATTCAAAACTTAAGAAAGGAAGAAAGAAGCCAGAGAGAAAAAGAGAGAGAGAGAGCGAGAGAGAGAGAGAGAGAGAGAGAGAGAGAGAGAGAGAGAGAGAGAAGAAAGAAGGAAGGGAAGAAGGGAGGGAGAGGAAATAAGGAAAGGAAAAGAAAAAAAAGGGGGTGACCATTTAGCTTATTTGGTTAGAGCATCATGCTGATAACACCAAGGTTGCCAGTTCAGTCCCTGCATGGGCCACCATGAACTATGCTTTCCTTAAAAAAAGAGTCAGCTATGCCATTGTAGCATGAAAGCAATGTGTAACCAATAACCATGGCTATTTGGGAATTTACCTGCAGTCTCCTTTCTTATGATTTGAAAATACTTTTCCTGGGCAATCATAATAATTTAATAGTCATGATTTGATAATAGTTTCCCAACATACACAATTTTCAGCCTATTCAAACCACAGAAACATTCTTCTTATCAAGATTAATTTTCCGTCAATTCTGTTATATTCAAACGCATTCTCTGTCACTGAAAAGAATTCTGCATTTATTTTTTTTATTCCAGTGAGGTATGTACTACCTTTCCTTTCCCCACAGGGCTACATGATCAGTGGAGTATTCTGTGGACTACTTAATTAGACATAAAAAGATATTCATCCATATACATCGTGCACACATTAAATAGAGTAAATTTGTAACCACAAAAAGTCTTTGCACGTTCACTTGACTGTAGAATAGATATTTCCTTAGCTGAATATTTCCAATACCCAGGCTCTAAAATCAGTACCAAATTCCCCTCTTCTCACCAAAGTGCTTCGTCTACCTGCTCAGTGACACACATCCTTCACTTTACAATTGGGCATGTGATTTTAAATGCAAACACTTGTGTGATGGTAATAACAATGGCTTACATTTCTAACAGGTAGCACATAACTGTTAGGATGTTTCCTGAGAACAGACTTTAAAAGATGGAGGGAAAGAGAACAAGGGACTAAGTTTCTGAAGTGAGAGAGACAAAAGGATGTCCAGATGGGCGGAAATGCCTGGCACATAAAATATACAAACATTTATTGCAATGAAAGAGGCTGGACACATGAGAAAACCGAACCGGTTGCTTCATCACTTTGAAAAGGGTTGGCTCCTTCAAGTAGGAAGTTTACGGTGGCCAAGACATGGAAACAACCAAAGTGTCCTTCGATAGATGATTGGATAAAGAAGATATGGTATACACACACAATGGAATACTATTCTGCCATAAGGAAAGATGAAATACTGCCATTTGCAACAACATGGATGGATTTTGAGATTATTATGCTAAGTGAAATAAATCAGACAGAAAAAGTAGAGAACCATTATGACTTCACTCATATGTGGGATATGAAACTGAATGCAACAAAGGAACAAGACAAACAAATCAAGAAACAAAAACTCATAGACACAGACAATAGTTGCATGGTTACCAGAGGGTAAGTGGGGAGGGTGGATGGTAGAAGAGGGTAAAGCGGGGCAAATATACGGTGATGGAAAGAGAACTGACCCTGGGTGGTGAACACACAATGTGATTTATAGATGATGTATTATAGAATTGCACACTTGAAACCTATGTAGTTTTGTTGACCATTGTCACTCCAATAAATGTTAATTAAAAAAATGGTAATTAATCTTCCCCTACCCCCAATAAAAAGAAACTAAAGGAAAAATTTGAACAGTAGCAATGTAAGTAGAGCATCTACCAATTTGCTCTTTAAGCATGTTATTGTAAAAAACAACCCACAAGACAGAAGATAATATACATAATCTCAAAATACCTGGAACACTGAAGTACTAGAGTAACTATATTGAACAGCAGACTTTTAGAGCTTTAAACAAATTGGAGATGATCTTGTCTCATACTTCAACCTCCATTTTCTGAAAAAGAAATTAATTCCTAAAATGTTCCATGCTTTACCCAATGCCCCAGAACTAGTCCGTTGATCCAGTCTCAGTACTTCATAATAGGACTCTTTCCTTATTTAAATACAAATACAATGCAGACACAATTAAAATAAATTATTGAAAATAACCTGTACATACCACTGTATGGGTTTGGTCATAGGTACTTTGAATTTTCCCATTTACTTTGTTTATACCTGACAAAAAAACAAAGGGAAAATGAGGTTATTTTCATTTTTCTTGTTCTTAAATCAATTCTTACTAATCATTACAAAGACAACTACAAGTCCTGCTCTGATTTGGGCACATTATTTTATTTACTATCATTTCAAACACTGATTCCAATGAAGTTTGAAAGAATGGATAACAAGAAAAAAGACCAGGGCCCCCTGAAGTCTTTTTATGGTCATGTCTACTGGCCCAGCTTTCTATCTGAACATTTACACACATTATTGGTTTTCGGCTCAGTTGGTGTTCATAGGTCGGTGATTGATTTAAAATAGTATAATACAATGGCCAATGAATTGTTATCCATGGAGGCATCAAATATTAGTTTCATCACTATAAAAAAACACTCATAATAAAAGATTTTGAAATATCAATACTCAATAAATTCTGTTCACTTTTGTGTTTTCTCAAACACTAGAGGATTGGAATTAACTCATGTCATATTACACAATTAATAAGTAATTAAAATTTTATAATTAGAAAAAAAAATTACAGGAAGCTTACTAAAACAGTTTCAGGTACTTACTTCCAATAATAGTCTTGTGATTGAAAATCTTACTCCAAATTCCACCTTCTACGTTATCTTTGACTCCGAATTCATAAACTGTGTTGGGTTTCAGATTTTCTACAATCGTTTCAGTGGCTGGACAGAGTTGAAAAACCCATTTCTTTTCTTTATCCTTTTCTCTATAGCGAATTGTATAAAATCTGTTGAATAACCAAAATGTGACACTTTAAAATCACAGGGTGATTTAGAATGTTTTTTTTAAGTTTTTTAATACCCCGTAGACTCTCATCTACTCCAAAGACTGTAATCAATATTAGCTTCTGTTTCAATTTTTTTAAAAAATTGTACAGAACTCTAAAATAAAACCCAAAATGTGTGTTTATTTTTAATTTTTAATTGCAAGTTAGGGGACTGTGTAGTAGCACAGTTATGGTCTGACAAAATTCAGACCTCTCAGTTCTATAACTTGTTGCTTTGCAAAATGAAAGCTCAAAAAAGCTGGATGTTCATTTTTTTCCCCAGTTACATGCACGGAAAAACAGAGGCATAATTTAGGAATACTTAATGTTGTAGTTTCATAACTGTATGGGTTTAAGTCTTTCACCCCATGGAAATTGCATTAGAGGTAATATTGTCCAATTTTGTAAAAGAGAAAACTGAAACTCTAGGATGCAACCAGGACTGCATTTCAAGGGGGAAATTTTCTTATTATTATAAAAAGAGTCAAGCTCAATAGCAAAGCTAAGGGTACAATGAGAAAAATCAAACCATGCAAATTCAAGATCACTGTTACATATTTGCTTAAGGTATCAGAAAATTCAGATATATATATGGCACAGTAATGATAATCCCCACCAGTATTTTTTTGCACCTTTATCACGGTAGGTTTTACGTATATTATTTCATTTAATTGTCACAAAAACATTTTAGGTGGTAGAAATTATTAATCCCATTTCACAAATGTGAAAATGGAGTTTTGGAAAGGTCACTTAACTTGCCCATTGTCACCCAGCATTAGACTTTTACTAGCGGCAATGGCAGAACCAGAATACAAAGAAAGGCGCCTCCGGCTCTGCTGTAAGCAGCCTCCCTAAGTGGGAAGGCAGGCCAGGAAAGGGGAATTCATCACAACTGTAGACAACAATGAGAATGAATGAACTGGAGATACATGTATCAATATGGATAGATTTTACAAACAAACTATTGAAAGAAAACAGCTAATTACAAAATAATGCATATAGTTTCATATCATGTACGTAAATATCAAAACACTCACACAAAATATGTTACCATCTATTGTTCCTGGCGTTGTAAAGGGACAATAAATACTGGGAGAATACAACATTTGTGATAGTGCTTTGGTTCCCAGTGAGCAGGTAGGGGCTTAAATACGATTAAAGGTGGAGCCAACAGATAGTTAAAAGTTTATCTGCTTTTTCTTTTTAAGTACAAACGTAAAGTAAATAGAATAAAATAATAGCTGTAACATATGATGATGGAAACACAGATGTTTGTCAATGCTATTTTAGGTCCTTCCTTATATGTTAAATTTTCTCTCAGAAATTTAGTACCTCTCTTCCACTCCCCACCCTAGGAAAATCAAATGTACTAAGATTCAGGTCAATTGTTTTATGCAAAACTTTTTTTAAAAAATCACTCATTTACTCATGCTAAAATGTTTACTGTGCACTCTGTAAGTGCCAGGCACACATTCTTGATGATACAAAAACCAATTGCTCCGAATCTCTAGAAACAAGGGTCAGAACTGGCTACAGAATTGGTGAGACTCACTGCAAAATGGAAACATAGGTCCCCCTTATTCAAAAATGATTAAGGATTTCAAGATAGTGAGAGTAGAGCGTTAAATCAAGCATGGGTCTTTTCAAGTAGAGGCCCCTGTGCAATTGCCCAGATTTCATGCCCATGAAGTCAGCAGACAGTTTAGAGTTTAATAAGTACAGAGAGGGAGAGGATGTATTTGTACATTCAGCCTACTTTTTTGCTAGTCACAAACTACTGAACTGCTTGAAATCATTCACTAGGTTGCTTGTTTCTAGTGAGAGCTGCTCTCTAGGCACCAATCCCCCATTCCAAAGTAGCAAAAGACAGAATGGATGAAGGAGGCTGCTGCTACCAAAATACTAACTGCTACTAGAAAGAAACATTATAGAATACTAATTCTCTTTGTCCTGTGAGTCAACACATCAACAGTCATTTACAAAACATATTTCTTGACGAGTATGATGCATGGTATTTTTGTTGTTGTTTTTTCCCTGCTCTGGCTATGACAGGACTTTAGAGAAATGTGGAGACCTTAAAATCAGTCCAGATAGACTACCACAATTATAAATCTCTAGTTTGGATACACGTCGGAAGTCCTGAATTGCTTGCAAGACCCAGGGGCCTGCTGCTAACAGGACTACCAAAGGTCAGATTCCAGGATTCCCGACAAGCTTGATTTGATGTCATCTTCCTAGGAATAAAATGGGACAGAAATGTTTTGTCCTAAGAGCTTATTCACATGTTAAAAAAAAAAAAGAAAGAAAGAAAGAAAGAAAAATTCAGCCTGTAAATTTTTCTATTTTGATCACCAAGCCTTCAAAATACCTTCTCTTATATCAAGTTTATCAGGAGAAATAAATGTACAGGCAGCTAGCCCTTCTACTATTTTTCAGTCAGCTTACCCTCATCAGTATTGTCTTACTTGATTGTAGGCAAGTTCTAAATTTTAACAGAGACAGTAAACAAGGCTACTTAGCTCTAAAGTTTCCTTGATTTTAAAGCAAAATATAGGCCTTATGATAATAAAAACTGCTGTACAACCTAGCACATAGTAGGAGCGACATAAATATTTCTGGAATGAATAGAATGAATACTTATGTGCTCACAGGGTCATTCTAAAATTAGAATATAATTGTTCTAAATTGCCAATGATTCAATCACCAAAATATAGTGATCTAAGCTATTACGTTTACAAGTGTATTTTGCAATGTGTCATTGCATAAAATTTTACTTGCCAAAACTCACCATTCCTATAGATAAATGCAAACTGAAGGAAAAAGCAATAAATATCTATGCTGTATATATGCAGAGGGCTTAAGATTTTAAAAATTTATTTCAGTTTATCCATACAATAAACTCTAAAGTGGGCCGACTAAGAATTACTATGGAATGGGCCGGCCGAGTGGCGCGATGGTTAAGAACTGCCTTGGGATGCCAGAGGGCCCCGGTTCGGATCCCACATATGAGGGCCAGTGACACTGCCCTCTACAGCTAAGATGTTGAACAACAGCTCAACCTAGAGCTGGGCTGCTGTGAGTCGCCGGGCTGCAGCCCCTGTGGCAGTGGGTTGCCATGGGCTACCGCATGTAGCCAGCAGCCAGTGTGAGAGGCCAGCAGCCGCAGTGAGCAGCCGTCCAGAAGCCGGCGACTGATCTGCCTCACCCGGGAAGAGCGCTATGATGGTGCCAACTTTGGCCAGTGAAGCAACGTCCTCCACAACTAGACTGAAGAACAAAAGGACAGCAACTTGTCTGTTCCCCTTCCCCCAATTCCCCACCACTGTTCCCATCCCCCAATTCCCCCAATTAAAAAAAAAAAAGAATTACTATGGAAGAAAAACAGAGGCAGAGAGGGGTCTAAAGTCTGATAATTAATGACAGAGCCAGGCAAATAGCCAATACCATTTGTACTGAATTGGACTAACTTCCTACTGCAGTACTTGGCAAAAGGAGATGGAAAAAGACAGGCAAAATGGCCCAGAATGCAAAAAGAATAAAAGGAATCAGAATTCCTTTTAGTGTTATTTGGGGCTTTCTATCTTTTGTTTTATTGTGTATTTACCATAACATATAGTTACAGACTTTCCATTATTGCCTGGGGACATCCAGGATCAAACATTGATTGCATCTTTTTCTGCGTATTATTAAATTTAGGTACAAGTGCTTGGAGAGGCAAGTCTATTAAACATACAGGTAGCGGCCTGTGAATGTCATAAAACCAGACCTCTGGAAAGCCTGACTCTAGCAATTTGGATTTTAAGAACAAGAACACTTCATATCCCAATTAACTGGTAAGACACTGTTGAAGGTAGTGTTTGGTTCAACTGGAATTATTCTGTGCTGGGATCTCCCTGATTGTCTCAATACTGACAACAGTTGTTATTCTAGCTTAAAGAAATCTACAGCTTCTCAAAATGTAGTGGAGAAAGCAGGTTGTGGCTTAGCTTGGATATCTGTCAGCTGAAAATTAGTAGCATGACCTTGGGGAAGTCTCTGCCCACTTACACATCGATTTTCTCCATTGAAAAATAAGGGGATAGGACTACATAATCTATGAGATTATTTTTGTTTCTAAAATTTTATTCTAGCTACATATCAGACATTCTATTCTAATAAAATACAAAGGCAGAACACAGGGTAGAAACCCAGAGGTATAAACTCCATAAACAAAATTTGTGATGTAACTGGTAGTGAATTATACTAAGTGCAAAAATTGGAGAATGTCAAAATAAACTTAGTCCTTTCACATACTAGCCTGGCTTGATGTACATGGTTGACCATTTTATGGGGTTTCCATACTTTTTCCAGCAATGCTTTTATTTCTGTGTAATTAACTACTATTATGTTTTCTAAAACATCCACAAATTCTTGGTTCTTTTCACCTGAAAGGATACTTCCTGACACTCCCTTTGTCAATGTCCTTGCTTCTTGCCTCACTGAGACTGGGACTGCTAATATAAATTCTGTCCTCACTCCCCTCCTCTTAAAGTGCCTCTCCCCCTTCACTGTCTCCTTGTCCCTCTCTGATTCCAGGGTTCTTTCTTCTCCTGAAAAATAAGCGTCGTGGTAATTCTATTCCATTTCCTTAACCCACCTGCTCTTCATCCTTTATCTTGATTCAAGGACCTTTCTTTGAGTCTAAAAGATGTTTACATATTTTCCATTCTATCAAACAAAAATAAAACTCATGCTTGCTTCTTATTCCTGCCACTCTCTTTTAACATAAAATTTCTTAAAACTAATCTACTTTCCCCCACGTTCTTACCACTCATAATGCCTAAATCTTTTTGCAATCTGGCGTCTGACCTATGAGTATAGTAAAACCTTATGATCAAATCCAGTAACTTAATCCTCCATGAATTCCATAACTACCTTAAAATCTACTCATCTTCTTTCCCAACCTGTTCTAATTCCAGTTT